AACAGCGTAGAGGGAGCTTTACTCTGTATCTAATGCCGTGCTGCCCCTGTCCTGGAACTGTTTGATGGAGGGGGTGGGGGCAGAGTCAGTGTAGAGCGAGCTTTACGCACTATCTAACCCCATGCTGTCCCTGGGAGTGTTTGATGGGGGACAGTGTAGAGGGAGCTTTACTCTGTATCTAACCCCATGCTGTCCCCGTCCTGGGAGTGTTTGATGGAGGAAGGATGGAGGGACTGGAGAAGGGGCTGAGGTCCCTGAAGGCTCCGAGGTTGATGCACATTCCCCTGAACCTAAACTCTCTGCCTTTTCCCAGAGGATGCTTACAAAACGCGAGTTCGGATTGACGATGAGTCAGCACATCTGGATATTTTGGATACAGCCGGACAGGTGAGTTGATGAGAGCTCAGTCTGAGGGCTCCCCACCCCCATTCCCTGTTTAGCTAATGGGCAAAATACTCCTGATTGCCCCCCAATCAGCGACCCCCTCAGGATGAACAGGGATACAGGAAGGTCTAGTGAACATCTACATGAAACTTGCTAGACCTCAGCCCCAGGACAGACAGAGAGAGAGAGCGCGACAGATTTACTGGCTCGCGGGATGAAGATAGATTGAAGATTTGGGATAGTTCTGCAGGGAGAGGGCCTGTAGCCATGTTTGATGGATAATAAGATGAGACTGTGGAAGTCTGAGAAGACCTTCCCAGTCTCCATTGAAAGAGGTGAGGTGAGGGTTTTAATGGTCATAGAGTCTCTGTTTTAACAACACGTCCCTCAGTCCTACCCCCTGCAACTGTGTGGCACTACCCAGGTGCTGCAATAGCTTCAGCCTCTGGCTATACCTACATGAGGGTGGCACTCGGTGAGGGGTAGGGGGGGTTGGTATCGCAGTGCTAAACACTGAGCCCCAGCTTCATGTCTTGTTGCTAGTGGGGGAGGTTAGTGTTGTATATCACACTCGCGCGCACACACTCGCACATTCTGTGGGACACACACACACACAGTGACCCAGCGACTGGGACACACACACACACAGTGACCCAGCGACGGACACACACACGTACACACACGTACACACACGTACACACAGTGACCCAGCGACGGACACTCTCTGACGTTGGGAATGTTTTCAGGCAGAGTTCACTGCCATGAGGGACCAGTACATGCGAGGAGGGGAAGGCTTCATCATCTGTTACTCCATCACCGATCGCCGCAGCTTCCAGGAGGTGGTGGAGTTCAAGCAGCTGATCTACCGTGTGAGGCATACCTACGACATCCCAGTGGTGCTGGTGGGGAACAAGTCAGATCTGTGCAATCTCCGGCAGGTAACCATCCTCTCTCAGGAGAGGAACTGTCTGCTTTTTCTTTTATATACAACTAGGGAGGAGGCTATTCAGCCCCTCGAGCCTGCTCTGCCATTCTGTACCATCCTGGCTGATCCCATTGTGGCTTCAACTCCACTCTCCTGGCTGCTGCCTATAACCCTTCAACTCATTACTGGTCAGAAAAAAAAATCCATCTCCTCCTTAAATTGACTCAACGTGGAATCCCACAGACTCACAACCCTTTGAACCAAGTAATTTCTCATCTGTTGCCCCTTTCCCAAAAACGAGGACCTCTCATTCCAGATTGCCCCACATTAGGGAACACCCTCTCTATGTCTACTTTGTCAATGCCTTTTAGCATCTTGTATACCTCAATTAGATCTCCTCTCCTCCTCCTAAACTTCAGAGGCTATCAGCCTAAAGTGCTCAATCTCTCTTAGTAATGCAAACCCCTCATATCTTTGGAAATCGATGCGGTAAACCTCCTTTGAACTGCCTCCAAATGTAGCCACATCCCATTCTCACCAGCAAGGGGACCAAAACTGTACACAGGACTGCAGGTACAGACTCACTAATGCCTCAAACTTCTGCAGCAATAACTCCCAACTTATCTACTTCACTCCTTCAGTATCTGCCTTCCTCATAACCTGCTGGGCCTGCATGCTCGTTTTCTGTGATAACAAGGTGTAGAGCTGGTTG